CAAGTAGCATCTACAATGTTGAATGTATGTATTATAAATATGAATATTTGACAATAATGACGACACAAGACTGTTCCTAGCAGTCGCTTATGTTCAGTTTGCGGCGTTGGTGGGTGTCACCAAGATGTTGGAGTGGAATGAAAAAATAACCGAATCCAACATTTCATCGAATTCCAACTCAGCAAAAATAGGCAAATCCAACACCGACTTTAACACTCTGGATGGCACATACTGAACTTATTACATTTATAATATATTGAATCATATATTATATGAATAAGCGTGGATTTTATGATTTTATCGTGAATATTTATTGGCATCCAAATAGACAGAGGCTTGAAATTGTTGAAAAATAATTTTTTTAATTCACAGTTGCATGAATCTTATAAATCGAATGAGTTTTAATCAGACTATCCATTACAACTTGATGACACAACAAGAGCAATATTATATATATATAATTCATAAAAAAGACAGAAATAAAAAAGTCCCATTGATTTCACGAGAGCATGTAGGGAGTCTCGATGACTTTGTCATCCTTGACCACCATCTTCAGTTCGCAGTACCAACCGTGCTATAATTTTAAATAAAAAAATTGATGGTTTATTTTATGTTTCATACTCGTATCATCTGATTTTATTATTAAATTTTATTTTATTTTTTAAAGTTTAAAATTATTTTTTAACAAATCATTTATATTCGTCATGATTTCTGTTAGATTGGCTACAATGTTGATCTGTTAGAAAGATTTTTCAGTTGGTGAGAACTTTTTTCAAATTTTTAATAGTCTTGCAGTATGTTTTTGTATATGTTTTTGTATGTTTTTTTTGTATAAATAGCATGGAATAGATGACCAACCAACCCACCCAAGAAATGATCTTCTCACGGATTATCTTTGAGCCGTTCTTCAAAATAAATATGAAGGATATCTGGATGTGTTGATGGGATTGGTTAGGAAAATAATATATACATTTGTGGATGAATTAAAAAATGAATGAATGAATTAATTAATAAATGAATAAATTATTCAATTAACAAACGAATGAATGAATGAACGAGCCAACGAATGAATGAATGAATGAAGTAGTGAATGAACGAACGAACGAATGAATGAATGAATAGAATGGTGAATGAATGGACTGGTGTATGAATGAATTGACTGACGAACAAATGAACGAATTGATTGATGAATTAATAGACTAACGAACGAAAAATGATTGAATGAGTAAATAGTGAATGAATGAATCGGTGGACAAATTACAAATAAACAAATCACTAAGTTAACGATGAATCAATTTTATCGTTCATTTTATAATATTGTCGTCTTGCATGTTGCAACAGTTTCTGCATCAGTTGGATTTTGATTTTTTAAAGAATATTGATAAAAACAATTCTATTGAAAAAAATTAGATTTGAATTGAAAAGTCTACGTAAGAAACAATCCAGTGAACCAGCCTTTGAAAGGTCAGGACGGTCCAACTTTATCAAATCCTCTGCCTCTTTGAAATTCTTCAAGGGGGGACAAATTTTTTTTTCATTTTGATTTTATTGTTACTAATGTGAGTGTTGCAAATATCGGCGTTAGTTTTGTTGGTCATACATAACTTCAATGTTATAAATTATGAATAGAACGTTTCAATCAACCAATCAATCAACCTATCTATCTACCGATATATCTATCTGTCAATCAATCAATCAATCAATCAATCAATCAATCAATCAATCAGTCAGTCAGTCAGTCAGTCAGTCAGTCAGTCAGTCAGTCAGTCAGTCAGTCAGTCAGTCAGTCAGTCAGTCAGTCAGTCAGTCAGTCAGTCAGTCAGTCAGTCAGTCAGTCAGTCAGTCAGTCAGTCAGTCAGTCAGTCAGTCAGTCAGTCAGTCAGTCAGTCAGTCAGTCAGTCAGTCAGTCAGTCAGTCAGTCAGTCAGTCAGTCAGTCAGTCAGTCAGTCAGTCAGTCAGTCAGTCAGTCAGTCAGTCAGTCAGTCAGTCAGTCAGTCAGTCAGTCAGTCAGTCAGT